CGGCGGCTGACAGTGCTAGCAGAACACAGGAACGGTTCGTAGCCTGTGGGCTTGACCTGCGTCACAGCTAGTTAAGCCTGTATTTTCACTGCAGAAGTTTAGTGCTTTAATCTTTAATGATGCAGTATAAGACAGTGCTTGGCATTCAGCTGGGAAACCCCGTACGCCACAGAAAAGATACCTCCAGGTCCCTAATCCTTCTGCCCTGCCCAGCTTTTACTAAAAGGACTTTATCTTACACAGAGGGTTTTGCAACGGGCAAGATAACCACAGAGCCTCCTCCTGAGATGCCAAGGCAGGAAAGCCAAGCAGAGAGATGTTGAATTGTGCAGCAACCACCAGCTTCCACTGTCACAACTGTTTCTGCAGTAGTAGGGAGCATCAGAAGTATCCTGCCGCTGGTATACCCATGATCCCAGGAGCATCTCTGGCATGGCCCCGACCCAGGCTGCCTTAACACCCAAGCAGATTGGATATAATCTCATGGTCAGACAAAAAAAAAGTTGTGCTGGCTTACAGCAAGGCCTGTCTGGCATTAATTCCTTACTGTACATGTCCTTCTGCCCTCCGACAGCACCACATTGCTAGTGTCAGGCAAACCTCCCAGACTGGTTCCTCCCAGGAAGAGCCCACTGCAGGCAACACACAGCAAGACAACCCCACAACCCAGCGACAAGCTCTCCCCGGGCCACTTGGCCTTGCAGATCAAGGAACACGATGCAGTTTAAGCTACTTGGTCAGACCTGTACTCCAAGGGGCAGAGATCTTGGGAAATGCAGTTGACCCCTCCCCTGCCTTTCAGCCTGCAGCTCACAACCCCACCTGCCTGAATCCCATCTTCTTGGGACAGGTACATCATCTTCACACCATGGAGATTGCCCTTTCCAGCCCACCGCCAACACAAAGTCACTCTGCTCACTACAAGACATCCCAACAAAGTGGCTCCTGCTGTCACCCTCTTCCACTTGCTGTTTATGCACAGTACATGACTACACCCTGAGTCACTGCAGGCTGAAACACAACAGGAATATTTGATCCCTGGACTTCATACATTACTAACCTAACCAAAGGAAAGCCCTGGCAACAGAACAGAGACAGGAGAGTTAGCTGGATCAAATCCCACTCAGCTGAAGCTTGCAACTCCCCCTCTATATATTTCAGTTTGATTTCTCCTCCAATCAAACTAAGAAACTAATTTTCCTTGAATCCCGCCTGGCCTAAACCCATTTCAGAAGAACATTCTACCGCAGGGAGCCAGTGTTTCGGCAATGGGGCACTGGGGCCAGTTCCCACACTCAGTTCATGCTGCTGCCTTTATGATCAGCACTGCCACTTCATTAGCAAGGCTCAGCCAGCATCCCCCAGGCTGGGGCTGGTGTCTCTCCCCAACTCTGGCCACCTCTGCCTTGAGCCCGCAGCCACTTGTACGCAAGTCACAGGTCTGGCTTTTACGCCTCTGAATCACCCCCAGCTGGAACGCATTCAGGATCTCCAGGCCAGTGACACCACTCACTTCAGATTAATAAAACCAAAGTGAAAACCCAGCTACACCGCCCTTCTGTCATTCAGAGACCAAGGAGACAGGAGTCTCAAGGCACCAGATCCAAAGTCCCACCAGCACAACCCCTTTATTAGCAGGGCCTGCAGAGATCTTCAACAAAACTAACATTGACTGTGCAATAGTTAGTGCTGAAGTCCTGCCATGGGCAGGAAAGGTACCTTCAGAGAGGAACACAGCATCTCTGTCTCTCCCAGCACCTTCTGGAGTGACTCTATTGTGGCATTGCGTACATCCAGAGTGTCCCTCAGCCCATCCACAACAGCCTGGCATTCACGCTTTTCTTTCTCTGGAAAAGAAAAAAAAAGAAAAAGGTCATGGCCCAGTAACCCAGACTTCAGCTGCCCCACAGCAGCAGGAGCACAACAAACAGACACTGCTTGCAGTCTCAGGCTCCAGGCTGCTAAGAGTTGGCCGTTCCTGTAGAGAGCCATTTCCCTAAGTGCTGTCTGCACCAGGGTCTGTACTGAGCACTTGCTTCTCCCAGTGCCAGCAGGCTTCAAGATTTTCTTTACTAAAGATAACAAGTTCCCTTTAATAGCTTTCCAGTGCCAGCCCTGCTAGCATTAAGCTGATGCATCTTAACTCTTGCATGCTCTCAAAGCCAGGTTTGCACAGGGAAAACTGTTCTTGAGTTATACTGAGCTGTCACAGAGCTGGAGAGCTGAGCCCTGAGCCCATCCTCTCCCCGTGGAGCCTTCATGCAGGGAAGCCCTTTGGGGGCCATAGGGCAGCTGCATACAGCGATCCACCACGCTGCTGCGTCACCACGCTGCTGTAGCGATGCTCACCACGGCACCTACGTCAAAGGACAAGAGGCAGTAAAGCAGAGCTGTGCTGGGCATTGGGGACTTTGCGGGACATGCGACAGCTTCAGTAGATTCCCCAGAGTGCCTATTTTTTGCAGGTCACAAAAGCTTTGAGTCCTGCTATCCCTCCCCACGCAGGCAATCCAGGAACAAAGCACATGCCTCTGACCACCAGAAAGGTGGTGGTGGAAAAAAACATCAGATTTCAATTTGTTTTGTTGAGACAAGGGAAGAACAGCTCACAAAGCAACAACCACCATCAGGGACTGACAGGCCTAAGCAGGGAACAGCCAGCATCCCTGGAAAGCTTGAAGCAGTTGGGCAATGAGGGAAAGCAGCAACCCCTCCGTCTATCCCTGTGGAGCACAGGGTAAAGTCTTCAGCTCAGCATCTTCTGTCTTTGCTAAAATCACCCATGGCTTCAGCCTGACAATAGCAGAGAACCAATCAGTGCCTTTCCAAAAAGCTGGTTCTCCTTGGAAGCAATCCAGTTTCCAACTGTGCCACCACATCCCATGCAAGCATGACCAGCAGTGCAGCTTCACTGCTCAGACAGTAAGAGTCATGTGGGACTGAGGAAGAAGAGAGGAACATATCCCAGCAGAAGCAAATAGAAGGGAAACACAGATTTCTTTCTTAGTAAAGCATTTTTTTCTCTCCATTCATCTGAATAACCCTTCCCTACCAGAGGCAGCACAGCCTGGAGATGCTCCCCTGCATTTGCAGGACTCCACATCCACCAAAGGAGTTAGGGCTTTCCCCTCCTCCGTTCCCAGCTGCCCAGAGGCAGATGGCAGGAGTCAAAACTTCCCGTGCTGCAGGAATGAGTTTTCAGCTCATTCAGAGTGCCTCCCACAGCGCCTGCTGGGTCTGCTCAGAGCTCTGCACCTCTAGAGCCATTTGCAAGCTGATCAGAGACTGGCAATTACACAGCTCCTCTACAGCGCACAGCACAAAGCACATCTTTAAGTGAAGAATTTATACACAAGAACCACCAGAGAGCAGAGTGCCCACAGCAAATGAGGCAGGAGGTGGGAAGGAGCTTCTCATTTCCAATATGAAAAGAGAATGGGACAGGGAATGTCAAATCCAACCTCTACTCACCAGAAGCCGAGAAGATGAGCAGGCCTTTGAGCAGCTTTTCTTGGATAACATCCTAGCAAGAATCCCAGCCACCTTCCCCAGAAGATCTGGCTCTCTACCAAGTCACTAAACTCAACCAAGCTGGCAAGAGAACAGGCCTCAGAATAGAGATGTGCAGACCATCCAGTTCTGCTCTCAGGCTAATGACTGAATCCTCAATCTACTGGCTATTCATGTCTGTCTCGTGCACGCAGGGAATGCAGAGGAAAGACGACTCTCAGGGCGTGGGTGAGCCCCCAGCATTCTTTAAAGATTTTTTTTTCCCCCTTCTGCTAGTGTGTCTTTGGATTTCTGTCACTCAGACTGACATTTTCCTTTCGCTGCTCATGACTCATGTTCTGATGACAGGCTGCCTACAGACGATGCTTAAAACTCATCGACAAGTCTCCAGGGCTTTTGCTTTTCCTGCCTCCCTCAAACATCCTCTAAAGTTAAAGATAGGAAAATGGAAGCACACACACCGAACTCCGTCTGCTCTTCGCGCAACACATGTGGCACTGCAACAGCCAAACAAATCCAAAGCCTTCCCACTGCTGCTTTTGGGCACCACTTTTACCCCCTCATCTGTTAGAAGGAACAAACCTTTGCCATATGCAGCTGTGAGTTTCCCAGTAAGCAAACCAAGGGTTTTGCTTTCAGTAAGCCTGCTCCAGATACAGCTGTGCTGCATTTTTGTAGCTTGTGATTAGGACGAAGGGCAAAAAAATTGCAGATATGTCTCTAAAATTGCAGAGAGCTCCCCAGTTACAGCAGAGCTGGGCCAGGCTGCAGACTCTGGCTCTGTTACACAAGCTTTCTGCAGCTTTAGGTGGTCTTGCTTTGGAAAAAGCTCTGAAGAAGTTGCTCCAGCAAGACAGTTTGCAGCCTGCACCATGCCCTCTGCTTCAGAGAGGGGTGGGCTCTGCATAGGGGTTCCTCAGGCCTGTGCAAGCCACCTAGCATAGGCAGAGCCCAGGACCTGCCAATCCCCTGCAGGCAGCTGGAACTCACCTTTCATGGAGAGCTGAGCCTTCACCCTGTCCAGTTCATTCTGAAACACAACACAGAAAACCCGATTAGGAAACGCCCTGCAGAGAAGCTTTCACCAGATCTTACCCGAGAGGTTTCTCGGCAGGACATCTGCACCAGCCAGGTGCTAAGAAGTGAACGCGGTAACAGCAAGCACCAAGTTACAAGCAAGTACTATCACAGGGAACGCAAAGAGCACCTCCAACTGGCATTCTTCAGGGGGAGAAGAGAAGATAGCAGTTTCGTCTTAGCCTTGTCAACCTTGTGTTTCTCACACTGTCAGTCATCTTGTTTTAGCTGAATAATTTTGGAAGGCTCTCAGGGAAACAGGAAATCAGACAGGAACAATTTTTGTAATGTTTTACCTAAACAAGGCAATAAGGCAGGGACATTGCCAGACTAACTGGTTTGGGAGTTGCTTTGAACTGAAGTGAACTTTAATCAGGTGCAGGTGGGATACAGGAGGGCACATCCAAACCTCTGAAAAGATAACCAAGCATACAATCAAAAGGCACCAGCTAGCATTCTGACAGACACTGAAGTCACTGCAGTTCAGGATGCTGATAAGAGCTAACTGCTCAGTCGAATGGCCATAAACAGATCACTGATAAACCAATCCATACCATAGCAAACTGAGGGTGCATAATGTCTCCTGGGTGCCACGAGGGTCTGCGGAAGCTCAAATGTTTCTAATGCCTTCATTAAGGATCAGAAAGAGGCAGCAAATACCTCAGTTCAAATAACAGATAATGAAGTGATATGAGTTATGAACACTGGCAAATAGCCAAAGGAAATATAGAGAGGTTACAAAGAGGGGCAATATAGAAATATATATGTGTATATCAATTAAAAATATAGAGAGAAATATATACAGGAAAGAGTCAACAGAAGATGACTTAAAAAGCTGTGTTAGAGAACTGCAGAGGAAAGCACATAACAAGTCAGGCAGGAACTGCAGTAGAATAAAACCACAATAAAATGCCAACACTGTACTGAAGCAGAGCACACAAATCTGTGCAACCCGGAACGCTACATGCAAATCTGAGCTGAGAATAGCAGCACCAGTGACCACGGATCTGACGGGACCAGAGTGAAGCTCTGCTAGTGACAATAAAGGCAGGAAACAGAATATGGGATGTGAAAGTCAGTAAGCAGAAGGGACTAAATGCAAAGCCTAGCAGAGCTGACTTGGATTTGCCCCGAGGGGGAACAACAGCTGGAGGGCTGACATGGAATTAACTCTGCTGCAGGAACTATTCTGGAGTAACTTCCTCAGAGTCCTATTCAGGAACGATTAGTGAGCTCACAAGATGTGCTAATTAGCATGAGAGCAAAGAAACCTCGGGCTACTGCTGGCAGCTATGTACCATTACCTCATTCATCAACTTAATCTGAAATCCCTCATCCTCCACCACAGCTCCTAAAGGCTGCTCCCAGTTTTCACTCCTCTGATAGAAGCTCTCCTCTCTTTGCCAGCCTCAGTTACACGACCATATTTTCCCAAGACCAAATGAGTACACCCTGACCACAGACAGCCAGCTATCCTCCCAGGTTTCTACCCTCCCCAGCAGGTTTACAGGCAGGAATCCTCCTACTCCTGCCCCCTTTTCACCAAGCTGAACAAGCCGAAGTCTCCTAGTCTCTTTTGGAAGAAGGGCACTCAGCTCCCCGAATCAGAAGCAATGGGAAGCGTCTTGTTCCAGATGGCCTCATCAAGGTGTTGCACCCCAAAATTCATACTTTTCCTGCTCTGGGAACAGCCATATGGAGACTCTTCTGATCACTGAGGACCGTCTTCGAGAGAAATACAGGATAAACCCAGGCCTGCAGCTGCTCCAGGGAACCAAGTTTCCTCTGGCATTTCAGTTGAAATTGATGCCTGGTGGTGGGAAGCAAAGCAGCCCCAGCACTCCTTTGACACTAAACATTTCAGACCAGAAGCAAGAGTGAAGAATAGCAAAGAATGCAAAAGATAATTTGGATAGTTCTGCAACAACAGGAAGATGTTTCAGACTATGAGGGAGCTCTTCCAACCACTTATAACTGGGTAGAGAACACTGGTTCTCAGAAGAGTGTCCCAACGCATCTCACCTTGGGCAGACAAGCGGACCACAGCTATGCATTTGGCTTTCTAGCACACTGAAGCACACTCCCTCGCTTCAGTCCAGCCTTTTCATGGCAGGAGGCCAAATGCTCATTTCAGGACATCTGCAGGCTGCACAGATAGAGCTCTGGTTGATAATGGAGCCAAGGAACACTCTACAGCCAGGCTCTTGGAGGGACAGACAGCGGATGGGAATAAACCCTGGATTTGGGGGCCTTTTCAGGTGAAATCACTTCTGGCTGAGGAAGTCACCAATTCTTTTTGCAGACAGAACTCCAGTCTAAATAGACATTAAATCCCAGCCATGATGGTCACCCATGTTCTTAAGGTGCTCCATGTCCTCCAGAAACAAGGCAGCACATCACATGGAACCGGTGACAAACCAGCATCAGCCCAGCAGCAACCCAAATCAGTGCACGGTGCAGTAAGTACCCATACAAACTAACTCACTAGGAAAGTTGCACACTCGGGGCTAGATGTTCCTCTGACGGCCACACCACAAACTTTGTAGGAGCATGGTGTCGCCATCAAGCTTGTTGTGCAGGAGCTGCTCCACAGTCCCGCCCTGGTGCAAGGGAGTTCTTCAGCACAGCCTACCTGGAGGGGAAGGCTGGGGGAACCCATCTTAGGTCCTGGGGTGGGGGTGAGAAGGAACAGAAAGCTTTTCTAGGGTGAATTTTCTCCAGTCAACCCATTTCTGGAGTCACTTATCTATTTACACTTGCAAGAACAGATCTGAATATGTACTAAAGGCAATGTTTATCTGATCCGAGCCATTGCTTTGCTTCTAGGGCACACAGCTTCAAGTGCCCAGAGATATTTTTTCATTTCCTCAGCACACATACTTTGGCCTTCAGTTTCTTTATTAGTGATCTTTGAGAACAACATTGCTATTGACATTATAGTCTGGCTGGCTTTATTTTAAAAACATACGATATACATATAGCATTGTCATGGCAACTGCTAATTATGGTAATTGCTGCACATGCTGATTCTAAACACAAGAGAGTACAAGCATCCCATTATACCAAGGTCAACCGACTACTTTTTTTGGAACAGATAACTCCAAGACATAAGAAGCCATACTTCATCCACACTAAGCAAGGGAGAACATGGAACAGCCACTCTGCATTCATCCCTTCTCATCCCCAGCTCTCCGCACCTCAGGATGGCACTTGGAGAACATCACCCAGCACCCCAGCTCCAGTCAGGCTCTGCCCCAAGGACCCAGCCTCAACACTGTCCACCACTGCTGGTGCAGCTTCAGGCAGTCCCTTTCCTAATTTATCTTGGGGAACTACGACTTTATCACCACCCTGCCCCAGTTCCTTACAGTCTGTGCAAATAAACCTAACCTGCACGGAAGCGAGGAGGTGGCACTTCCTCTAACAGCCTCTTCCTTCCAGAGGGGTTAGGAGGGCTCACAAACACCTGCAGCAGCTCATTGCATTTGGGATTTTTCTTCTCCTGCCTTTTGGAAAAACGCTGTAGCCTCATCCCCAAGGCTTTGAGACCCAAGGGAGAAGCAGCAGTTGGATGTTCATTTGATGCTGCTTCAGGAGGTTTCCAGGTAAGGTGACAACCAGAAGGAAGAATAGTGAAGTAGAAGAGGCCTCTTGAGTCACCACACAAGATTTGCTCAGGGGGAACTCTAACCCACCACATGGAGACTTCCTTACAACAGAGCTGAGACTGGGCAAGGACCAAGAGGGAGAAGAGACAGGCAGGAGACACTGATGTGCTTCAGGTCTGAAACACAAGTGCAGCACAGTGAGCACCAGCTCAGGAAGCTGCTGTTGGCGGAGGACCGGCAGCCCAGGCCATGCTTCCAAGATGATGAAGAATCAACACAATGGAAGAACACTCCTGAGTCAAATTACCTGCAAGGTCTCTGCATCCGGTGTTGTCTGCTCCTCCAGGGCAACATCAAAAAACAACTTATTGATGATGTGTCTTTTGCTGACCTAAACACAGGAGACAGAAGAGGTTGATGCGCACAGATATAGAAACACAACAGATATGGAAAACAGATGGAGGGGGAGAAGGCATCATCTTGTCACAAGGCCATGAAAGGCGAGTCAGATCACGTGCTTGACGCCATTAGTGACGATACTCCACTTTTGGCTCATGAGCACAGCAGCAGACCCCCCACTCAGTTTTGGGAGCGAGACTCCAGCCAAGCTCCTGAGCCGCAGCAGAAAGATTCAGGCATTTCCGAATCAAGCGCAGCCTATTCTCTGGCAGCTAAGGCCCAAGCAGCTGACGCTGAGCTAACATGATGCCAAATCCTAAGACAGAAGTACGTGCTGCTTTCTGCAGGCAGAAGGTGCTGTAATTGAATTTGATAGCTCTCCACACCTCCCCCATGCAGTTACAGCTTTGTGTTTTAAGTATTATATACAGTCATGACACCAGCTAATTGCATAGTTACTGCTACATAAGATGTTATTTCGCGATAACTCCATGGTAACCCAGATATGTAAGAGGCAGCGAAGAACAGAGGGAATCAACAAGTCAGGGAAGGAACAAGGGCCAAGACCTTGAGAGGAAGAAAGAAGCATGAACACAGAACAAGCCCAAGATGCAGCTGGCTAAAAACGTACATCTCTGTGTGAGGCAACATCTCCTGCAGCCACTACACACCAAGACCTACTGGTAGCATCAAGGCTGCTGACACAAGGGACTTCTTTGAAGTTCAGGTCCCGATTAAGCCACTGGATCCCCAAGCCTTGGCTTCCCATGTCAGAAGCAGAGCACATCCTTCCTTCCCCCACCAGCCTCTGCTTTTCTCAAGGAAGGGCCGAGTGCTGCAAAGCCAGGGCTCAATTATAAGGACCACGTGCAGCAGAATGGGCTGCTTACCTGATGGCAAGCAGCAGGGCACTGTAGAAACACAAGCTGGATGTCCCGATTAACCCTTTCCAGTCCTTTCTACCATTACGCCAATACTTACTCAGCCTAAATAAAAGCCATGAAAACCCAGAGACTCTTTCTTGAGAAGTTACAATAGGGACAGCAGCAGGGCACCCTCGGACCATCCCTCTGATCAGAAGGGTTGCTGAAGGGGAGTTCAGCCTCTAAGCCTTTGGGGAGAGCCTCAAGTGACAAGAAATGCTCTCCGCTTCATTCCACGTGCCTTTTCCTTGAATCACCCCAGGCCTAGGCCACAGCTCCGGGTACTGTTTGCAGAGCATTGTGCCATAGAAATAGAGAGGCATACAAAGGTGATGGTTTTACCTGGATTCTGCACTGCGGGCAAGTCCGGCTTGGTGCTGTGTCAAACCACTGGATGAGACTGAGAAAAGAAAACATATGGTAAATCCTTAAAATCCAAGAGCATTGCTGCCAGGGGCCACCCCCCAGCTCACCAGGAGACAGCAGGATGTGACTCCTTTTTACAAACTAAAAACAAACGCAAACATTTAATCCAGAGGTGCAGCTAACAGGAACACCATGTTCCAGCACACGCACTCTACCTTCGCTTCCAAGACAATTCCCAGCTGAATTTAGCGTGCGAGCTTATCTTTACCAGGACAGAGTTTTGAGAGAGCCCAGATCTCCCCAGGAGAGAACCTTTGAACAACTGTAACTTTGCAGGAGTGAGGAGATCCACACACAGAGCAGCACAAGAGCTGCTATATCAGGATATGACAGCTGAGAGATCCCCAGTTCGGTCAGCTCCAAAGGGTGCCACTGACACCGAACACGCATCTGCCGAACGAGGGAGACTGGGTCGATCTCTGCTCCGAGATGATGAACGCAAACCTGTCAGGCTCCCCAGGAGAGCTACTAATGCATTTTTGCAACCAAGCCATCACGTCACACTCAGAACGGTTTATTTTTGGAGCAGGGTAACAATGTGGAGCTGGCAGGTTACCTTTGGAAGCTCTTCTTCCTCCACTGGTTGTTAGAGGAGGGCGAGCCCCAGCTGTGCGGCTGGTTAAGAGGTGACCATCGCATCCGTGAGTGGTGGTCGCTCTCCAAGCTAGTTAGCCAGAAAAGCAAATACCCACTCCCTCCCCACACACAGAATTTATTTCCTCAGAAGAACAATTTCCTTCCAACACAAACACTTGCAAAACAGTTCCAGCAAAAGCATGAAATTGCCTGGGAGGCTTCACTCAATCTAACACCGCTCCTTCCAGATAAACACCCTGTGTAGGAGCAATCTGCTGGCACCGGCCCTCCCAGAGAAGGAAGGCCACAGGCAGAGGAGTGACAACACAGCTGCGGCTCCTGCGGCAGCTTCATGAGCTCCTCTAA